CTTCAAGACCGAAGGCGCTGCAAATGTTACCATCTGTACAGGCAATCTTGAAAGAACGAAAACGGGTATATGTCTAAACAATGGCGATGTTTCCCCCTTCCTTTTTCAAGAGCATCGTTTGCAAAGTTATTCCTTCGAATTAGTTTTCTTAACAAATCACGCTAGGCAGAAAATAAATGCTATGGCTCTTTTACGTATAATTCTTTAATGCGAAATCTCGCAGTGACTAATCTTTGGGAATGTTTTATGATTTTATGATTTTATCCTCTGTCTCAAATAGGACGTAACACTTTAAATATATATTTCTCAAACGTATTTTAGCTAACCACTATACCATTTAAATATTTCTTTGAAATGACGCTAAAGACGAACAGTAATAGTTGAAATCTCCAGACAGTATAATTTGAATGTAAACAGAGGGCTGGTTACCCTCGATCTGTTGGAAACTCAAGAAGTTAATGTCTTTGCCGTCTTTGAACACTCAACCAGTGTCCATGATTATTTAATACAACACCATTAAACAAACCGGTAACTTTTAAATATGTAGTAGATTTTAAATATAGTTCCCAAATAAAAAACAAAACAAAAACTAGTAAATAACAAAGTAAACACCAATCGTCATTTAGTGTACCAGTTATGTTTAAATCTTGTGTCGCACCGCGTTTTGAGCATCAAAACGAGACGGTTTAATCACGTGGCTGTACTGCTTGAAGTCTCGAAATCACGAAGGAGTATGGGGCAAGGGTTTAAGAGGAAAGGGCTTGGGGCGAGACTAAGGTTTGGCGCTCTAACCCTTTGTCGTCCATACAACGTTTTTTGCGCACGAGTTCGAATTAGTCAATGTTAACTCTCTCTCTCTCTCCCCCCTCCCCCCCCCTTCGACAAAAAGCCGAGTACAAGCAGTGTATCACGGTGTCCTGTGTATGCCTTGGATCCTCATTGATTCCCATCACTTGGGCTTGTGAACGTAGCGCAGAGAAAGATACGCCATAACCCTGAACACAACGTTAAACAGGAAAAGTACGGCGAGATTCACGCCTGCAGACCTTGCCACGTTCAGCTTTTCTAAGATGTCACTGCCCTCGATAGCGGTCCCATTGTTCCTGCATGCAGCATATGACGAGTCCACTTCTTGGCAACTACATGAGGAATAAGAGAGTGAAGTGCGTCAGGACTTGACAAACGACAAGGAACACTACGTACAATTTCAATAAGATACGAGAGCAGTTTCAACGACAACAATAACACGTCGTTATCTCAACGAGACAAATAACGACAATCAATAAATCAGTCAATGAATAATCAGAAAAAAACAAACCAAGGAAACAATTAAGGTATCTAGGAACGCAGATTTAAGACGAAATACTTTCAATCGAAAAATAGAATCTTTGCTTATATTATGCCTCATTAGCACGAGCACTTCACTCTTTGATCGAGCAACAAAATACCAGGTTTACATATTGAGAGCGTGTGGCTGATAAACTTCCCAAAAAGTTTGATATTAAATACTCCTTGCGTATCGCGAGTTAAAAAACTCAAAATTTCACAAAAATGTATTTGCTCATCAGCGCTTTTTACCTCCCAGGTTTTGAGAGCCAATATCTCCTTTTAATTAACACCACAGCCAAAGAGCTCAAAAGTTTATAACCAATTACTACGTTTCACCGACAAACTCTTACTGCGCCTTTCAATAACATGCGGACTCTAAAATTCAAAGCTCAACCAACAAATGCGTTTTTCGCTACCGTCAATCAAATGTTCGGCGGCTTCTCCCAGCTTCCGACTATGTTGCCTGAACTGTGCTCAACGATTTGATTTGATCACCGCACGCTCGTCAGTAGTCGGAAGCTGGGAGGAGCCGTTGAACATTTGATTGACGGTAGCGAAAAACGCATTTGTTGGTTGAGCTTCGAATTTTAGAGTCCGCATGTTACTGAAAGACGCAGTAAAATATTTGGTGTCAATTCCTATCTTATTCTAGCATGATAGTTTTTCTTCCAAGTCGTATTCTAATGAGGTTAGGTAGGCCAGCCAATCATGACTGATCACCGCTCACCTGAATGACGGCGAATTGGTAAATTCCATACTAAGGATTGCGTCGTAAGAGTACGTAATGACAGCGCTGTATTGAAACCAAGATAACCATGATGGCATGTGCTTCTGATAAAATCCACCCAACAACATACAGGTCAGACCATATACAGCAGCCACGACAATTGACTTCTTGAAATCCATCACTGTAGCGCCGATCCACAAACCTACAGACTGAACAAGAAAGAACGCTTAATGCAAAGGTCTGTTTACTTTTTGTTCCTAAACATTGATGAAAAAGTCCTCCCTTTTTCAACACTGAAGTAGATCTGTTTCGTAATGTTCGAGAACGGTGCCTAGACAACACTTGCGTCTCCGAAACTTTTAATTAGACGTGAAAATCTCAGAAGCCTTTATCACGAGTCACGAAGTATCTTTTTTTGTGCTTCATTCGTTTCCGAGTCTGAATTCGTTTACGTCTCAGTGTCGGATTTTCACACAAGGGTCTCGATCGGCGAGTCCCAGATTTCAGCTTTCTTTAATTTAGTTTGTGTAAAGCCAGCAATAATATCAGTGACGACTGTCTGTTTTCTCGACCGTCCATGATATCGTAGGATATCAGGTCAGTGACCTGTAAGATAACGCGGAACACTATGAATAATGATCGGCTAATCTTGATAGAATATTAAGGCCGCCGCACCAGAAGGCAAAAGATTCGTGTGCGAAGTGAGGTAAAAAGACCCTTTCTTGCACACCATGCAAGAAAGTGACTTTCTAATTTCCTTTAATTTCTCCAAAAAAATGTCCACATAGCCTGCATAGCGCTTTTGCTTTGGCGACGAAGCGGTGAACGAATAACGAAGCAGCGAGGGAACCGGTTAAGAGTCATGGCGCCTTCGCCACAGAAATCACTGGCTAATGCCTCTAATGCAAAAACGTCACTTGTTTTCGCACCTGTCCGGTAAGGGCTGTTAACAATAGTACAAAGAGTGTGCCAAGGAAAGCCTCGCTCCTGTTTAATCCCGCCATCCAATATACAATGATTAAAAACAGCGTGGGCTGTAACACGACCAGCGGTAGTTCACTGGAAAGCTTGGCTAAATAGTATGCTGATAGTCTGTAATACCCAGCCGCTCTCTCTTTGTTCACCACAGTTCTTTCATTTGGAACTGAAAATACATAAGAAAAACAGATCAGTCATGATGAACAAATATAATGCAAAGAAAGTAAAAGACCAATGCGCATGAGCGAGTGGAATCCGTTTGTGTAATAACAATCATTCCCATAACAATCGTCCCCAGGCCGCGCTCCTTTTGGTCAGCACCAAGAGTCGCGACCTCTGGGTGGGTCCAACACCGGAAGTCCGCGATTCACGGACTTCCCGTCAAATCTGACAAACCTGATTGGCCGAGAATACGAAACGAATACTCTGCGCATGCTTAGAAAATCGAGTTTGGCCAGAGGACGTGATTCTTGGTGCTGACCAAAAGGAGCGCGACCTCTGGGGACGAGAATGAATAACAATTAGAAAACTGATCATCAATAAACCCATCACCTTAAAGGTTTTTAACTCAACAAGAAAAAATCTTCCTTTTTGATCCCCTGAATTGCAAGGCATTTCTGTGAATTTTACGTTATGCATCCTGGTGATGTAAGCAATCAAAATTGAGACAGCACGGAAGTAATTAGCCTTCTTTGCAGACATTCTTTTAGGAGGTGCGAATAACGAGCCAATCAATATCAGCGCAGGAGGCTAGCAAATCGTATACATGTAATAAATGTACAGTATTATCCTAATTATTATGTAACCTAGTTGAATGTTTTAACTTCCCATAGCATGACACTCACATGACACGAGCGAACCGAAGAGTGTTGTGAAATTCCAGTAAACAACGATGAAAAATAGCTGTAAAACAAAACGAGCATCTGTTAATTACTGAATGTCTTCACCAAACATTACAGTAAA